TTCATCATCTGTGAATTCAATCATAATCGTTTTAGCTTAGCTAATTTTAATCGTGAATAATTAAGGAGAATTTATTTCGGCCATTGTTCGTGACATGGCTATAATTTTATCCGTTGAGATACGGATAAACGTACTTTATCTTCATTTGCAATATATAGTGAGTTTATTAATTAAAGTACATTAATTATGCGTAGGATAACGTTACTTTCTCATTTGCAAGAATTAATGTTGCGCTCGGAAACAAGAAAAAAAAACTGCATAGTTTCCTTAAAATTGACTGCAATTGTGCGAGTTGCCGTGTATTTTCCCGGCAAATTAACGTTAATGTGTTATAATGTGTTAAAATTTTCGCGAACAGATAAGTGTTTTCTCGCCAATTACAGTTTTCGTATCTTGTTGCCGGTTAAGAATATGTTATTGTCATGTGCAATACACCTCCGTGTAAGCGTATTCGCGTAACAAGAAAGTCCGGGCGAATCGCGGATGTCTGTGCGAGGAGACTTAATGGCTCTGTTAATGTGTACCTCCGGTAATTAGTATAAAATTGCTCGCAATTTATAATTTAATTACAGCTCCACTCCCACCGCCGAAAACATTTATTCACGTTCGCGGATTCGAGTTTACAACTGGATATTCCCGTCGTGAATGCCAGCCGTCGTTCCACCGCGTCCAATGGAAACAGATTACGTTAATTATCGTCCGCCATATATATTCCTGCTTAACTCCCTTTGTTTTTGCAACTGAAATTATGCTGCGAGCGTACCATCTATCTCGAGGGCTCTGCCGAACCAACGCCTCTCGCCCGGTTATATTTTACAAGATGCTACGGATTTAACGCTATTAAACTAACAATAACATTGCAAAATTGGAGTAATGCGTGTAAGAACGAAACTAAGAAGCGGATTTCGAAAACGGTATTGAAAACTTGATCGAATTGTATGTGAAATAAAAAAAAAAACCGACGTACACGTTAACATTTACGCGCGTTTGTGAAAACAGAAAGTTTTATCTCAAAAATGTAAAACTTGTCCTCCTCACAACTATTCCTCCACGATCACGTACTGATAAACTCAAGAAAAGAATGTTGGCGCGAAAGGGGAGTTTAGACGGGTCCACGAAATTTCTTAACGGTTCCAGAAATTATGCGCCTTAATTATGCGAGTTCGGGAGAACAAAAAGGGGACGACGGAGAGCTATGCGTTTTAGAGACCCGACGGAATGGCTAATTGCCGCGCTCTGCCAGTTTGATTGCAATTCTTTGCGAGGCATCGACGAAAGAGAACGTTGGAACTTGAGAGATAAAAGGTAGAAGAATTTTCAGGAAGGGGGAAGTCTGCTTAGAAACAGTTGTTGAGAATAATTTTTTTTACTAACAGAACGCTGCGAGATAATTATAGGACGAAATTTGCGAGATGCTTGCGCGCGCGCACGCGCGCGCGCGCGTACGAATGTTTGTACACGTGTGTACACGACGGTAATGGATAGTTGCTTGCCGCTCGTACGCTCTGCCAGGTAACTGTTCGAAATTATAACCGCCGCGAATGTTTTACGACGCCGCCGAGTATTGTATACGAAACCTCGTTTCCATTTTTCTCGCCAGTCTGCGCGTCTCCATTTTTCCGTACCGCGGCGCGGAGCCGCCGGGAATTTATGCTTTACTTAAGTCGGGAAACTCGGATCTCGCGTGACGCTTTTGGAAATTTCGGGACGCCAACTTAATTAATTTATTATCGTGTGCGGCGACTTCCGGCAGCCGTAAGCCAGAAGTTGCTTCTGCTGGCCTGATTTCTCGGATCGCTCGTGTGTGTGTGTGTGTGTGTGTGTGTGTGTGTGTGTGTGTGTGTGTGTGTGTGTGTGTGGTGTGTGTGTAGGTGTGTGTGTGTGTGTGTGTGTATATGTGTGTAATTAACCGATGAGATCTGTTCAACGTTTAATATTTTTCTAGCAGAATTTACGGTTATATTTATACAGAGAAGAAAAATAAAACTTGTTAAAATTATAAGAATGTAGAGTAGATTCTGGAGCATAGACTTACATCAAAAACTTGCAAAAACCCTCTACATTTTAAATTTCTTCCTTTTTTTTAAGCACAAGTCTAAATCTTGATAGCTAGAGAGTAAAATATATTATCGGCACGTCCAAAAATATCTTAAAAAAATACCCACAAAAAGTACAACACGTAGCAATAACTTCCAAAATAATTTAGTTATTTTCTCAATAAACCGACGGTTAAAAACCTGATTTTTTGAAAGGTTTAATTGGAGCGCACGGAGAGATCGCACACGGCCATCTTTCTTTTTTCAACGCAAAGATGCACTCCGCCGTGTGCAACGGCGACTGCATTACGGTGGGTGGCGCATTAAAATGTTTGTTTTTCCTCGGACGACGTTAACTCACCACCTCGCGTTTCGCTCCCTGGAAACGCTTCTCCCGTAAATAACACTTTCTGCGCGGATGTCACATAACGTCTTCTCTCTACACGGACTTCGTTTCAGGCGCGTTTTTGCGGCAACCTGCTACGACGCATCGTCATATTTCTGGCACCGCCGCCAGATTCACGGCGCTAGTTAATAAACTAAGAACAAGAAGAAGGATAAGTAAAGGAGAAAAACGGAGGCAGAGGGGAAAAAGAACGAAAAAAAAACGCGAATAGAAAACTCGTATTAAAATGCGCATCAGAGTCGGACCTGGTAAACTTTCAAGTTGCCCTCTGAACTTAGCTTCTTTATAAAATACATCCGCGTTAAACCTTTTTATTCGATTGTCGAAAAAGAGGAGAAAGAGAAGAATGGCACTTTGAAATAGAGTGAAGGAAAAAAAGAGGACGGAGGAAAGTGAACACTCGCCGCATCCGTCGCTCTGAAATCATTTCGCGTTCAGACTTCACGTAAACTGTCTATCTTCGAGTAGTAAATCGACGAACTCTCTAGAACCAACCGCTCTCTCGGTGTACATCTTCTCCATTTCACTTCAGCAAGCGCACTCTCCTCTTTTTACGCTTTTATTCCCCTGGATACACATATTTTTTCTCTTTCTCCTTCTCCCCTTCCTTACGTTCCTCTTTTTCTTCCTACGAAGCGACCGAAACAAATGCAGCTCGGAATAAGGTCAGAATTTTTCGTACTTGAGCCGTTTGCGCGAGCGGAAAATTTGATGAAGCACAGCTCGTTAAATCGTCGAATTATGGCGCGCGGAATATAGTTTCCGAGGAATTCTTTTGGCGTCAATTTCATTGTAACTCTACTACTCGCCGTACCTGCCGCGTGAAAATTTCATGTCGCGGATTGTGAAACTAAGAAATCCGCGCGTAATTAATTTCTATCGTGTCATCGATTTAGTTGATAATATTGATTTAGCAGCGCGCTATGATGCTTAGCGCAAAGTTGACCCATGAAATGTATGGCGCGTGTATTAATACCTATTAGCGATTACTAATTCTGATGAAAATGATGCCGAACCAATATAGAATTAAATGACATTTATCGCGAGAAATGCATGCGCGTGACATCAAAATTTCAATTGTAAAATAGAGGGAAGATTTTGCGGTGCTATCGCAAAATTCAACAAAATGTCATTCTGTTCCATATTGCATGCAATGTTTCATATGACGATCATAGCACACCGATTTAATATTGCACACAGAGCCCATGATCTCTCAACTAATTCACTAGAAACCACAGCAGTGCATTGAATTGATAATATCTATAATATACATTCGGAAATAACCCCTGCAATCGACGGCGGACGCCGTCCCGCTCGCTCTCTTCCTCCCCCCCTCCCTCTCTCTCTCTCTCTCTCTCCGCTCTGTTCCGTACGGGAGAACTTCGGCAATAATTCAGCGCGCTTTTTGCGCGCGTCGCGAATATAGATCGCGGCCTCCACATGCGCGCGTGCGAATCGATCGCGCGTCGCGCACCGTTGCTTTTTGCGGTCGCGCCGAGCGATGTTCGCGGCGGAGACAAATGAACTCGGGTCATGATCATTTTTCCAACTTCGCCCTGCGACTTCTTGTCGAGCGGCAGAGCGAGCCGGCTGAAAAAAGATATCGGCGATCTCCGAGTCGTGTGCTTAGAAACACCCGATCCACGCGTCGCATCGCGAGCGTCGTTTCGCGAGCAACTTTCTCGATAACGCTTTTTGCGCTCGCGCACATGCACGAAGCTTTCGTCTACACGCGCAATCGTTTGTTGCGACACAAATGTTGCGTGTTTTTTTCCCCCTTTTTCGCACGAATCGACGCGAAATTTTACTTTTTACAAGTATTTGCAATTTGCTTGCAAGCCGGGAACTTTGATGACTCCGTCACGGCGCCTTTCACGATATGTACGCGAGAAAAAGTTACGGAAACGGATAGAAAAATTTACGGACACGTATTATGCAGTCGGTACAAAATGTAGAGAAAGTAAAATGTAAATAATAAGTAAATCATATAAATATGACCGTTTTTTGAGGATTATAAGATCGTTTATTTCAACCTTTATTAAAGTCAGCGCAGTGCGTAATTTCCAATCGTTGTTAATGTTAAACAAATCTCACGTTTGTAATTCTCGTTTTTAATTAAAAAATACCGATTTAATCATACTATTGTATGATATCTCACTCCCGCATTGTATTTTGCGCAATTGTAAGAGTCGCGGGACGCACAACTAATTGTAAACAATTTGATAACGCCGTCTCTGACACCGAGGTAGCAGCAGACAACTGCAAGTGCGGTTTCCGAAAAACAGTTTTTCAGCCACGCAGAGACTCACGCGGAGCTTCATTGAATCACATTGTACGTACGTTCGCGTTAAACTAACCTTAGAGTCATTGTACAAAGTTCCTTTTCAACATATATCCAATGCTCTACACCGTATTAGGTTGGAATAACCTTTAATAAACAAGAAAATTATGGAAATTTGCGTAATACAGCAATAATTTCAATTTTATGCCGCTCAATGAGACTTATTGTCGATCCAAATTTCCAAAGAATCCACGTAAATGAGGTAAAATTAACTCACCCGTTCATTCGTCATCATTCTTTTCTACGACCTTCGGTCAACGCTCCTCTTCTGCCTTTTTTATCCTCGTTCACTCTCTCTCTCTTTCTCTCCGGTGCTCGCCCGAATCCTCTGCCCTGCGGCTCTTCCCTCTCCGTTCTTCCTTCTCTCCCGTACATTACTCCATCCCCGTCTCCTTTCCTCTCCTTCCGACCTCCGTATCTATCCTTTGCTCTCTTTCGCCGGGGCTCTCTCCGGGCAATCTCGCTCGATAGAGCCCGTGTTAATTTGCATAGCCACTTCGAGAGCCGCACGATCAACGGCCACTATCGTATCGCTGTAACAGGCGTAATATTGCGCTGGTATGAACCTATCTGGCCGGCTGTGGCCGGGAAACGATACGACGCCGATACTTTTCTTCCTCTCCTCGCGCGCGATCTTAAGTCGCGTTTAAGACTTTTCGCGCGCGACTCCGCGCGCGCCATCCCAAAAATGCTGCATCTTTTAGAATCTCGTTCGCTGGAACGGCAAAATAACGATGTGTCATGTTAAAAATTTATAACCGTATAAATGTATACAAGTACTATTTACAGCCCGATAGTAAAAGACTATAAAGTGAAAATTGCAAAGAGAAGAAGCAATTGATTTTTTCATAACCCGTAATATTGCCTCGTATATCACGCTGCGCTTATTTAATTACCTTACGTATCACTTTACGACTTAAATTACACTGTTTAATTAATTATCGAACAGAATAGAATATTTTTCACAAAAACTACCGTCAACTCTTTCTCGGTAAAGCAACTTTCTTAACGTTCCAAGTGAAATTGCCCGAATTTAATACTCTCCGGATCTAAATCAAGTCACCTTCGAACTTATTCTTCAGACGCGTTAATTCCGCAGCCGAGAAACTACCCGAAATTCAAGGCTTTCAATTACTCCCACAGATAAATTAGATCGCGACCGGCAGATTAAACCGGTTCGGCTCGAGCGCAACGGTTATGACTCGTAAAAATCGAATCGCATCGATCAGGCGGCGAGCGAGCGGGGGCCGCGAAAGAGTCGGAGAGAGAGATATATATATATATATATATAAACGGCGGGGGGACGAAATATCCCCGAGTCGACGGCTCGAGCCCGATGTCACAACGAATGCCTTATCGATACCGTCTTGTCGAACGCTCATACGCAAGATATTCCGCATAGCAGTGTCTCGGTAATTGGATACACGATCGGGCCACGATGGTTTTCGTGTCGAAACTCGATCCGACTCGCGCGTACGAATCCAGAAACGTCCCGCACGGGACGCACCTGCTCGTTTCGACAGACTATGATACGAATGACGATAGTGTAAAGGCGAATTTGCACGACTCACTCTTGATAATCGTTCCAGATAAGTCATTCGGATTGAAAGATAAGTGAATCGCGTACACACACACACGAAATCCCCGCAAAATCGATCGTCTATTGGGACAGTGAAAAGTGGATTTCACTTCCATCAAATTTTTCGACGCGAATTGCTCGACGATCCAAAACGGTCTTATACTTTCGTAACGAGCCGACAACAATCTCCCGCGTCCATTTTCCGTCACAATTCTTGAACGCGTCGCGCATTTATTTCGCACGATCTAATGAAAAGCTCACTTGCACATTCACGATGGACGATTAATCCTTGATATATTCCGCACACACGCGAACGCTCGCATTGTCAATTTGCAAATTTTGATAGCGGACGTCGAAAAGTCACCATCGTTTGCAGATCGCCCGGAGCTCGCTCGCACAGATGACGCGATAAGTCCGCCGAAGTCATCAATACTTTTCACTGTGACCATTTGAATGAAATATCATTGCGAGCGGATGCGTTCTTCCCTGATCAGAAATGCAGCGGTCCACACGCACAGCCCGGGGCGAAGTTAATACATAAACTCAAATGCCTGACAAATGCGAGAGTTAGGGAAATGACGCTCAACTTTATTTTATTTTTACTCGCGTACACTCGTTTAAAGAGTCGCTTTTATACAGCGAAAAGAAAAGCGCGCGTTAATGAAATTTTCCGTTTAAGATGTGACACGCGCACGTTCATGTTTCAGAATACAACTAATTTATTAACGTGCTATTTGCAATTACTTGTGCGTAAGGTGGATTTCGAGTTTGTCTGGATCGAGAGCGGATAGGAAATGATTTCGTTCATGCTGGATAATAATCTGCGTCGCCTGTAATAAGCCGATCGCGAAGTAACTAGTAATGTGCGCCGGTGACTAATTCTAGCGGAATTACGCGCCACTGATTAGCGCGATACCATAATCCCGTAAATCCCGTAAATATGATTACGAGGAAACGATTATTCGCGTGCCGAGTCGACCGTGCGTATCGATCGCTAGTTATAGATCCGGATTTATAAACAGAGTCTTCAAGAGGAAATTTCGTAAAACGAACATCGCGCAACATCGCGAAAACGATGAAATGAAGCAAGTCGAGAAATAGTGCGTGAGAATATCGTTACAATATACATGTTCCAAACCTGAACTGAAGTAGCACATTCCTGAGATTATTTTGAGATAAAAATTCTAATACTAAAATATCGAGGCTATAAGTTTTTAAATAACAGGCATTTGACACACATACACACACACAATTAAATTGCTCTAAATTTGCGCGTTCAGGCATCGCATTGCAATAAAGGTATCGATTTTGCTTTTAAATGCAGATATAATTTTACGTACAATAAAAAATAAAAATAGATTGATATCTGAAGATATTCTCGTCACTGTACGATATTCCATGCCTGAGCGCGCAAATTTGGAGCAACGTGATTGATCACTTTAAATGCTTTCCGTTTATAAATTATTATAGTCTCAACATTTTGTTATTAGAATTTTCAAAATAACCTCAGAAGTACGCCATTTCAGTGCGTTTCGTGTCAAAATATTATTACAATATTTTACGAAACGAGATGTATAATTTTGCACAAGACGCAAAAAATTCTACCATTATCGTAAGAAAGAAAAAAGATTAATATAAAAAATGTAGCATAATATCGCTCGTAATACAATCGTTAATGATAACGATATAGATTTTCCTTTTCAATTCATTATCTTCAGCTCATTGAATAAAAGATTAAAATATTACAAGAACAAAAATTGGAAATGTTATAACTACAGAAACGTGTTATGTTTAACAGGATGACATGTACTATTTATAAAAAGAGTACGCGCTGCTACATTTTTATGCAAGTTTGTCGATACGTTCGCAGTAATTTCCGGAACGCTTTAATTGCCTGCAGTTATTTTGCAAACTCGTTAACTACCTACGCCGATAACCGCACATTAATTACGACACAGCCTAGCGTTTTCTCTTTTATTTTAACGATCGGTGACATTTCATACTTTTTCGATATTTGGGCGAAGACTATGTAATTCGCGAATCAAATTATCCCGTAAACGTATATCAATGCGTACGATTAAAAAATTAAGCTTTGAGGAAGCTTGATTAAAATTCGAAAGACTACATCCGCATTGCGCGAGAATAATTTTTCACTTTAAATACATTAATCTTTCAGCATTACTGTTTGCATTTAAATTTAACAAACACTTTGTTTTTTAGAAGCGTAGAAAAACGATAAAAATATATACTAGATTTGCCAATTGATATTTCATCGTTGAATAATTTCCGAATCTTTTTTCTGCCGCTTGCCTGGCTCGATGCCCCAAATTTTATCAATAACAAAACTTTTTATATTTCAATGATAACGGAGTTGCCTCTCGCGTCGACAAAGTTTGGCGCGCATTGAAACATTCCTCTGCGAGAATGGCTTATGCAACTATCGACGGGACGATAGTGGCAGGTCGGAGAAGTCGGCCGATTCACTTGCGCCGCTGGATAGACGCAAATACGAGAAAAACGAGTTCACGGCTCGCTATCGTTCAGTCAGACCCTAATGCTTACGCAGGAAATTTGTGACCCATTGGACCGGACTCGCGAGGGTGCAAAGCAAATGTTTTCTTTCGATGTCCTCCCTAATGCACACATTTAAGTGTATTCCGTTCGATCTATAACGGCAACGGCCGCAAACTCGGAGCGCATCCTACCGGGACAATATTATCTCGAAAAATATTTAACAGCGATATTTGGATTTCGATTTTATTTAATATTATGTCCGTGACGCGAGAAATATTCGGCAAATAAAATGGCACAATTGTTGCAATCGTGTAGTGGATATATACGGTATATTGCAGGATTGCCGCCTATCTCTCCCAATTTTCGCTCTAAGAAGATAATGACATATTTGAATAACACAATATTGAAATTAAATGCATTATTGTCTTAGAAAAATTAGATTTTTTGATCCATTTTACACTCGTGTGTGCAATATT